ATCCAACCGCAACCGCAAATGCTCGAAGAAAGCAGCTTTTGGATTTGAGAGGTTTGGAGCGATACTGAATGGTATAAAGGGTTTCCCATGATTGTTGTCAAACGCCAACAACCGCTACCACCCGCAATCGCAGCGTTTGCGGGTGAACCAATCAACCCCTAAGAAGATTGCTAGAGAGAAGAGAAAAGTATCTGATGGTTGTTGTCTCTGGTGGGATGAACCAGCACAAGAATCAGATTGTTGATGCAGTTGTGATTTCGAGGATTCTAGGTGCTGTTCTTGTTGTTCCAATATTGCAAATCAATCTCATTTGGGGAGACGAAAGGTAAAAATATAACAAAAGAAAAATTTGATACATGGATCATAAGAAAGAATGTTCAATCCATCATTTTGAATGTTTTTGCAGTGAGTTCTCAGATATATTTGATTTAGAACAATTCAAGAGTGTTTTAGCAAATGATGTGAAGATTGTTTCGATGCTTCCCGCGAGCAAAGTAATGACTAGACCATCAGAAGATGGTGGTATGCCTTTTCATGCTTCCCCTCAATGGATCCGTTCGCACTATCTAAGTGATGGAAAAATGAGAAAGGATGGTCAGTGATTATTGATTCCACTCAATGGTCTTTGTTGTTTCCTGCAGTTCAATAAGGATGGGGTTCTGCTTTTAAAGAGATTCGATTCAAGATTGTTTAAAGACTTACCCTCTGATCTCCAGAAGCTTCGTTGTAAGGTATGCTTCTGACTCGGAAGCAAAAGGTGTTTGTATTTATTTTTATATTTATCATTTACCAAAAAATGTGTTGCAGGTAGCATTTGAAGCACTGAAGATCCGAAAAATCTGATCTACCACTTGGTTAATTGCCAATTGTCTACAACGGCGAAAATGCCAAACACTGGCCGTTACTACCTCTATTACTTTAGCAAAGCGTTGTATCGTGCTAGATTTTCCCAATACGTCGATAAGTCGCCTTTGAGAGAGGCAACAATCTGACCAGAAGTAGGTGAAAACACCATTCTTCACTTCTATACGGTTATACCAATGAAATATTTTAATTGTTATATTCTTTCTTTCAAAATTCTTGATCTTATTTTTATAAAAAAGAAAACATCACAGTAATATAATAAAAGAAAATATAAATTTGTTCGTATATACTAAAACAGTAATAAATTTATTCAACCTATGAAGAAAAAGTGATATATTTGATAGACAAACCAACAAAGCTTTTCTTTTGTTTAACAACTTTTACAACAACGACGACAACAATAATTTCTTGATTTTATTACGATAGTAATATTTAAAAAGAAAAGAAACAAAACTCTATGTTCTTTTCCATAAAATCAATGTTCAAATCTCATTTTCAAAATGTTTCAATTCCGATGGAGAGATGTATAGACTTAACAACTATTAGAAGAGAGATAAAAATGTATAAACTCAACATATGTTTTATGCATAGCTTTGTTTCTCATCTTTATAAAAAAAAAGCCATATAGCCACACATCAGAGCTTACTCATGGGATTGATGGAACTCACAAGCTGTTGTAGCTGCGGAATCCACGAGCCGTTTAGAACCACAATTGCCTCTTTGACTTTGACGTTAAGTGCGTCAGATGATTCCAACAAATGAAGGATTTCACTTTGGTCCAATGTAAGAAGCATTCCTGTGACTTCTCTTGTCCAGAGTGGCTCAAGTTTTTCCACCAATGAATACAGATACTCACCAAGCGTCTACACATGAGAAAAATAAAAGAGTAAGGCAGCAACAAACCTCTTTTTTTTTACTGCAATCGATATATGTGTTTAAAAAATAACCATAATCCAAGGCAAAAGAAAAAAAGGTTTTACATTTCTTTGTTGTTCGGGAGTTGCATATGCTAGATTCTCCCAATACGCTCTTTGAGGGAGGCCGCAACCTGACCAACAGTTGGTGGAAGCACCATTGTTCACTTCTATACCGATGAAATCTGACGCGAGAGGCCAAAGCAACATTTATTTTTTTTATCAATATACTATATATTTCTCCCATTTTATCTTATTTTTGTAAATATCTTTTCACTTTATCTATATAATAAAAAGTATAAACTTTGTTTGCATATGTATTGATTCTAATTTTTAGAAAAAATAGTAAATTATTCAACTTATGAAGAAGAAAGGTATATGTTAAAAATGATAGACAAACCAACAAAACTTTTTTTTTTCTCAACAACTTTCACTATAACTCGTTTTACCACAATGACAAGTAAATGACAAGTAACAACAATGGTTTCTTGATTTTATTCCGAAAGCAATATAAAAAATAAAACTAAATGTTATTTTTCATGGAATTAATGTTTAAACCTCTTTTTTTAAGTCCGGAACTTCAATGATTTACTAAAGAAAAAAAAAACTTATTTAAAAGAGTTTCGATTCTCATGAAGAGATGTATGGCTTCGACCTTAAACTAAACAAAAGAAACGAGATATAAATTTTTTATAACTCAGTATAAAAGTCATGCATGCATGGCTTTGTTTCTCATCTTTGTAAACAAAGTCGTATGGACACAAATCAAAGCTTACTCATGGGCTTAGTGGAGCTTGTAAGTTGCAGCTCTGTGGGAATCGAGTTCCGTAGAACCTCAATTGATTCTTTGGCTTTGAATGCCTCGGGTGAATCTATCAAATGAACGATTTCGCTAGGGTCCATTTGAAGAAGCATTCCTGTGATTTTTGCGGTCTGCAATGGCTCAAGTTCTTTCACCAATGGATACAGAGGCTCGCCAAGCCACTACACATGAGAGAAATGAAAGAGTAAGGCAAAAACAATCTTTTTGAAAACTAAAATCG